GGGGGGCGGGGACGGGTTCCCCACGCCCCAGAAGGTGCAGTTCCCCGTGGAGCGCCTCTCCATGACCTGGGAGCGGATCTACCGGATTGGCGCCGGGCTGCAGAACCTGGGGAACAGCTGCTTCCTCAACTCCACCATGCAGTGCCTGACCTACACGCCGCCGCTCGCCAACTACCTGCTGTCCAAGGAGCACGGCCGCACCTGTGAGTGGGGGGCCACGGACTGGGGGGCAGCAGGGCTGGGGCGGCTGCGCTGCAGGGAGGAGGAGCACCCGCCTCTCCTGCTCCCAGGGCTGTGCTCAGCATCTCTGCACATGGCTCTGGCGAGGGGCATGCCAAGGGGTCTTGGGATGCGACTCCTCTGCTCCCTCCTGCCCGTTTCTCCATGGAGAGGTCCTTCCTGCGCACAGCTCACTTTTCCTGTCTGTAGCACTGTTGGCGAGCTCTGCATCCTTGGTCTGGGGAGGCCTTGTCTCTGCTGGGCATAGCCAGGACTAGGATGGGTCCACGGGGTCTTCCTGGGTCCCAAACAGCCCCTGCCTGTGGGGACTGCACGAGGGGAGGGCCGAAGGCTGCGTACAGGCAGCAGGTGCTGTTTATGGGTGGCTGTGAAAGGGAGTCCCGTGGGCACTGCTCCGCGCTGTGACCAAGGGGAGCACGTGGGGCTCACAGCCCCATCCGTAGGGCTCGGGTGGGATCTGCCTGTTGGGGCCAACCTGTGGGCTTCTCCAGCAAGTCCCTGTGATCTCTTTTCCATCCCCGTGGACGCTGCCTCGTCTCGGGGGGTTGCAGTGGCTGGTACTGTGACTTGGGCTGTGCCAGCTGGGGTAGCACGTGCTGGTCCCTGCGAAGCTGGGATGCCCCAGAGAGGTACCATAGCACAGAGCTCGTAGGGAAAATGAGTGTGGCTGAGCTGGGTTGGACCAGAGGTCCCCCATCCCCTGTAGTGCCTCTGTTTCTCCTGGGTTTGTCCCCAACATCCTGTCTTCTCCTCTCCGGCTCCAGGTAACCATGGAGGCTTTTGCATGATGTGCGTTATGCAGGAACACATCATCCAGGCTTTTTCCAACAGTGGCAAGGCGATAAAGCCAAAGTCCTTCATCTGCAACCTCAAGAGTAAGGATGGCTGCCCTTCCCTTCCCAGCCGTAGCCGTAGCCATCCAGGAGAGCAGTGGCTAATGTAGGAGCAGAACCTTTGAGATCAGGGCACGTCTTGGCAGACAGCTCTTCTGAGGTGACTCATGGAGCCTGCCAGGGGCTGGTGACTTCATGGGCTGCATGGGGCTTCCCCCATGGCCGGCAAGAGCCTGGTGTCTGGTTTGGGTTGAGGGGACACAAATCCCAAGGGAGGGAGGGAGGGAGGGTCTGCATGTGTTGCAGCACATTCTGGGACCGATTCCTCCCTCTCCTGCAGAGATCACCGAGCACATCCGCTTTGGCAGGCAGGAGGATGCGCACGAGTTCCTGCGTTACACCATCGATGCCATGCAGAAGGCCTGCCTGAACGGCTGCACCAAGTACGTGGGGCCTCTGATGGCCCATCGCTGCTCTTCTCTGCTGTCCCCTCGCTGGTCCCCTGTGCCTGCGGGTGGGGACTGTGGGGCGAACTGGTCAGACTCCTAGAGGGAGGTCCTGACTCCAGGGGCCTTGGGTGGATGTCCCCCCTCTCTGCCCCTCTGTGACACAGCGCTGGGCTGGTGTCTGCCTTCTCCTGACACCTCCGTCCCAGCACAGCGGTGGTCCTGTGGCCGCTATGGATTTGGATCCTGTCCCAGTTGCCAAGGGGTGCTAGTTGAGCCCCAGCTGTGGGTGAGTAGCTTTCCCCTGGGCCCTCCGCCCCGGGAAGGCTGTGTTGCCTCTGTCTGCATTGCCCAGCTCTGAGCTCTGGCCAGGAGTTTCTGCTCCTCCTAGAGGAAGGTGTGCATTGGAGCCTGGTGCCACCCCTTGAGCTCCGGCACTGGGAGAGCAGCCTGGCAGAGGCTGTGAATTCCCTCTTGT